CCTCGTTTCCTGAGGCCGCAGCCCCTCACCCAGGGGGTCGGTGGGGGTTCCCTTGAAGATGATCCTGTAGGTGGTGAGGAACACGGCTCCCTCTGCGGGGAGCAGGGGGGGTCCCCCGACGCTGCCCCCGGCCCCCTCCTCGCGCCCGTCCGGCATCAGGTACACGCGGAGCCCCTCCATCACACACTCCTCCCCCAGCAGCAGGTTGGGCCGCAGCAGCTTTGGCTGGGGGAACAACGGGGGGCTCAGGTCTGTGGGGAGGGTCTCACAGCCCCCCTGGCTCTGCTCCCAGCCCAGCAGGGCATTCCTACCTTCTGGATGGGAGGCAGCCTCTTGCTCTCCCTGTGCACGGCATCCAGCGTCTCGATGTGCATCTGCACGATGTCTGTGGGACAGGGGGTGAGTCCTGCCCAAATCCCACCTGTCCTGGCCAAATCCCATCCTGTCCTGCCCAAATCCCATCCTGTCCTGGCCAAATCCCCACCTGTCCTACCCAAATCCCACCTGTCCTGCCTGAATCCCGCCTGTTCTGCCCAAATCCCACTCTGTCCTGCCTGAATCCCACCCTGTCCACCCCAAATCCCACTCTGTCCTACCCAAATCCCACCCTGTCCTGCCCTCCCTTACCTGTCCTGCCCAAATCCCATCCTATCCTGCCCAAATTCCATCCTGTCCTGCCCAAATCCCACCTGTTCCGCCCAAATCCCACCCTATCCTGCCCGAATCCCTCCTGTCCTGCCCGAATCCCATCCTGTCCTGCCCAAATATCACCTGTCCTGCCCAAATCCCCACCTGTCCTGCCCAAATCCACCCTGTCCTACCCAAATCCCACCTGTCCTGCCGAAATCCCACCCTGTCCCTGCCGAAATCCCACCCTGTCCCTGCCCAAATCCCACCTGTCCCGCCCAAATCCCACCCTATCCTGTCTAAATCCCTCCTGTCCTGCCCGAATCCCATCCTGTCCTGCCCAAATCCCACCTGTCCTACCCAAATCCCACCTGTCCTGCCGAAATCCCACCCTGTCCCTGCCCAAATCCCACCCTGTCCCTGCCCAAATCCTGCCCTCCCTTACCTGAATCCCACTCCGTCCAAATCCTACCTGCCCTATCCAAATCCACCCTGCCCTGCCCAAATCTCACCCTATCCCACTTAACCCCACCCTGCCTTTCCCAAACCCACTGTGCCCCCTGGATCCCGCCGTGCCCCCTCCCGCTGTTCCTGCGGGACCCCCGGTGTCCTCACCCGGGATCATGACGTGCAGCCCCTTGAGGTGCTCGTTGGTGACGCCGCTCTCGGTGCACACCTTGTCCACGAAGCGGTTGATGAACCTCACCACGGAGTTGGCCACGTCCGAGCTCTCGGCGTCCTCGAAGCCGCTCTCGGTGTCGTAGCTCTCGGCCACGCTGCCCGCGATGCTTCCCGAGGGAAACGGGGAAGGGTCAGCCCAGGGCAGCCCCGGCCAGGGGCCACTCCCAGCACGGACCCGTGGGAGCTCCCACTCCTCATGAGACACCAGGAGAGATCCCACTCCTGGTAAAAACCCAGGAGAGCTCCCAGGGCTGACACAGAGCCATGAGAGCTCCCACTTGTGACACAAACCAGGAAAGCTCTTACTCCTGGAAAAAGCCAGGAGAGCTCCCACTCCTCACAGGAACACAGGAGAGTTCCTGCTCCTGA